ATTGTCAGTGCTCGGTGGTATCGGAAGGGGATGATAGCTCCCATTTTACTGAGTTTTCATGAAGTGCCCAGCACTGTGCTGTGCACCTAGTGTTCAGTGTCCCCTTGAATCCTTAGCGCGGTTTTGGAGATGCGGAAACTCAGGCTGGGAGTGTGACAGACTCCTCCCAGCGGTTGAGCTGGCAGTGGATGGCCCAGATCTGGACCTGAGCCTCCCTGACCTCCGACCCCTGGCCTCCGGGGCCAGGCAGCCTGTGCCTCTAAAGCAGATGTTACATTTACCTGGTCCGGTTTTTTGTTTGTTTTTTGGAGGTTTTGTTGTTGTTGTTTCCTTTCATTTATTGTTTTTTTAATTAAAGTATGGTCAGTTACAGTGTGTCAGTTTCTGGTGTGCAGCACGATGTCCCAGTCATGAGGATACATGTATATATTTTAATATTTTTCATTAAAGGTTATTACAAGGTATTGAATATAATTCCCTGTGCTATACAGACGAAATTTGTTTTTTATCTATTTGTATATACAGTGGTTGGTCCCTTTGTTTTTAACATAAAGCTTTAACTCTTCAGCTCCTACTGAGACATTCAGAAATTAGAGCTGCCATCACTGGAATAGCTTTTGTTTTGCTCCTTTTGGTTCTGCATGTGTTTACAAATAGAGAGGCCTTGGAAAGGCAGTGAGTGGTTCAAAGCAGGATAAGGACCTCAGACTGCTGTCTTTCTGGAGCAGTTCAGAAGGAGATAACCATTCTCAGGTGAGGGACCAGAGTCAGGGGACCAGTCTAGGAAGTACTGTTTGTGATGGCCTCCATTGGACGAGTTCGGTTCCACTAGGCTCATAACAAGGAAAGCTATCACGTTCCATCTTGCGGTTAATTGTGCTTCTTGTAGCATCTGGTAGTTGGTTGTACTTAGCAGTGGGTTAGCACTGAAATATTTGTATACCACCACCACAAAGGGGATTCCAACTCGAATACTGAAACATCACCACGCGGGTGAGGGTGGCGGGAAGGTGGATTATATGCAGATCCACAGATTTCCTTTACAGAGTAGAGCAGAAGGGAGTTGTCCACCGTCAAAGTCACACTCATAAGGGGCAGAGTGTCTATTTTACCTGACATTATGTTAAAGGGCAGCTTTAGACCTCAGAAGGAAGCACGTTACCTGTAACAGAGAGGTGAGGTTTCGATCAGCTTTGTCCCTACTATTGATCGCTGTCATTTAAGCACTTGTAAATTGATTTGATCACACTAAATTAACAACATTCTGGAAATTCAGAAATACAACGTAGGTTTGGTTTGGTTTTCTTTTTCCATATAGTTCCCTCTCGGACACTCGTTTCTACCATTATCTCTCCTGCTTCCGTAGGTCATTTTGTCCACGAGGCTTTAGGATGCCTCCCCAAATTTCTGCCCGTCTATGCCATGGGTGGGAGTTTCAACATTCTTCTTACATTGTCATAAAATGAAAAGCTGAAGAGAGAGACTTAAGAAGAGCTCCAGTAGCTTGTTAACAGAGAAGAATTGAGTGGTACTTAGGAAGTTAATTAGCTGCAGTCTCACGGAAGATTTATTTCAGGTCCATCCAGGTTGGTTTAGGAAAGGCATGGTCAACCCCGGATGGATTGAATTTGTAATTTCTGCATGTTCGTAAATGGTTATATAGACTTCTCAGGCTGTAAAACATAATTGATATTCCTCTGTACACAGACTAGCGTCGGTTAGGATATGATTACCATTTTGTTATCTTTCCAAAGAAAAATTCTCCAAAAATTTTTTTAATCTACATTGGTTTGGAAAAGCTATTATATAATGTTTGAAATCCTGACTGTATGAAAATGGGTTTAAAATAATTACTAATTGTTCCAGTCTTTTGCAAAGACATAGTATTTGTCAACACATGTCCTACACAGTGAGAACTTAAAGCTGTCATGGGGTCTGGTCTTTCTTACATATGTGTAGAATACACATTTGTATGTGTAGAATTCTAGTGGCTCTTACATTTTAGAGGGTATTTCAGATCTACCAAAATTAAAAATCAAAGCATATTTCTGTAAATTTTTATTAGAGGAAAAATCCTTTAAAATAGGAAAGGCAAGTATCCCTGTCTTTTTAAAATGTTTCAATTGCATAAGATTAGAATTCTGCTCATTTGATCTCATCCCTCTTAGGAAACCACTGCTATCATTCTGGTCCGTAGGTGTGTGAGAAGCTAGTGCTCCAAAATTTTTTGACTTTTTAAAGCCTTATTCAGAAGAGACAAAACTAACTTAATTAAAAGAGAAGAATTATAGGTGAATTAAAGAACTGTCAGGAGTGAATCTTAATGTAGAAAAGCATTTGTGCCTTTTGTAAATTCGTGTCTGTGCCTTGTTTCTAGGGCCACATATTTATTGGTTTACAGGCCCATCAGACATTAAGTTCGGTGCTGTTCATGGCAGTAGCCACAGCCATGTGTGGCTCCCGAGCACCTGAATGTGACCGGTCCACAATGAGTTGTGCTGTCGGAGTAAAAGATACACTGGCTTCAAACACTTTTTCCAAAAGAAAAAATATAAGATATCTCAATATTTTTTATATTTGATTCCATGTTAAAATCATAATATTTGGGATATACTCAGTTAAACAAAATACTGTTCCATTTAATTTCACTCAGCTTTTTTCCTTTTTTTTTTTTTTAACATGGTTGTTGGATGGTGTAAATTACGCATGAAGCTTGCGTTTGTGAGCCACGTGACACCTCTGCCGGCCAGGGCTCGTCTGCATCATCTGTCTGTGTCCACATACTTATCATCGTCTCAGATAGAAAACCCTGTTGAATACCTTTCAGCTGTCACTTCTGAATTTATTTCCTTACATTTCAAATACAGTTCTTCAACATTATATTTCAATTTTTTTTTCCCCATCCTGGTACACCGGCACTTTAAACTACCTCTCCCTTTACTACCAGGAATTCTCCTAGGAATTTCAATAGGCCACAGTGAAAGCAATACTTGAGCCTCATTCATATGTTCCAGTTAGATCATTATTCCTAATAATGGCTTTAAGCGCTTAGATAGATCAGCACTTGTGTCTTGAATTGCTTGTCATTTCTTTATAAAGATGTTTCCAGAAATTGCTCTATGCATTCCCTTCTTTCATTGTTCCGAACACAAGGTAACATAATCCTTTATTAATTTGTTTAAAGTCAGAGAAGAAAAGCCTTTTGTATTAGCGAAAACAAAATGTTTCCAGGCACTGAGAAGAAAGAGCAAAATTCGTCATGAGTGATAGTCCTACGAAAGTTAATTTTTAACGTAAATCATGAATGCGCCGTCAGTCTGCCAGTGGCTTTGACCTCTGTTTCATGCTTCCGTTATGCTCGGGTCCGGGTTGCCATCAGCCACCACGAGGAAGCCTATGCAGCTCCTAGGCAGAGGGAAGTTGCGCTGTTAGACTTAACAGTATGGTAGTCATGGAAGCATCAGTTATCTTCATCAAGGCAATTCAGATGTGATTATTGCAGAACTGTGTTGAATACCAAACCAGTGGAGTAGTAGCTGGAGCTAAATCAAGGGATTGTCATTTTTGTCAGATGATTAGGGCTGACTTGGAAGAGATACGAAAGGGTTGAGCTGTGTAAATACTCTCTTTTCAGCAGAAAAAGAAAAGGTCCATCATGGCATTAAGATGCAGCTTGTTAGCTTGATGAATTTCAAACTATTTAACCTTAGCAATTATACACCCCCGCCAACATGCAAGTGTGTCAGTGTCTTGGGGATTATGTCTCCAAGGAGTGATATCCAAGCATAGTGGTAACTTTCTATTAAGAGAAAATGTAGCTTTCTGTGTCAGATCTCAAAGGACAGGGAGTGCTCTGGTTCAAATTATTAACTTGAATTGTATGTTCAGGTAAACACTGCAATACATTTACTTCTCAGTCTTTAAAAACTTTTTTAAATGAAATATATATATAATTTAACATTTTGGAGATGATGGTATTCATTTAAGTTATGCTATTAATGTGTTGTTATCAACTAGAAATACCTTTGATTAATTTTTGTTTGCCTGAGGGACTTGAAACATTTAAATAAGAGACACATTAAATAATAGCAATGTATTTAAATAGATACACGCAACCTTATGATTCAAGGACATTTCAGCACATTGCTCAATAATATTAAATGCCAGAGAGTACAGTGAATTTGCTGCTTTTATGAAAATGTGCACTGGTCAGTTTGCTTTTGTATTGTGGTGATACCCTGCTAGTATTTCCACTACCTGGGCACTTATTAAACTCGTATATAAGAACAGATGACATAGAAATTACTAACTTTAAAAGAATTGATGAATTCTGAAATAATACGTTCACTTTAGAAGAAAGACTCGGTGTGCCATCTAGCGGGCATATTTAGCATTCTGGTTATCAAAAACTGTATTCCATACCTTGTAATGGTCTGTAATGAAAAGGATATATATGTGTCTGTATGTATGTATGTGTGTGTGTAAATGAATCACTATGCTGTACACCAGAAATTAACACAACATGGTAAATCGACTGTACTTTACTTAAAAAAAAAGAAAGTGAAAAAAAAACTGATTATTGCTCTTCTCCAAAATGCAGCTTTCTTGACATTTTGTGTCTCCTAGCCCTTAAGCATAGCTTGTGCTGGTGTTACATCTCATATAATATTTCAGTTTTATTGTAATTTTACCTGATTGTCTTTGGAGCAGCATATTGAAAGTGATCAAAATTATCAAAAAGAAATCTAATGAAAGGAATAAATCTATGTAAACTATGAGACAAAAGTAAAATATATTAAAACAATTTCAGTTTAATCAGACTAAAATCAGTTAAGACAAAACTTCAATAAAAACAAAACCCAAGCACATTGATTATTGAACTTCATTATTTTACATATGTTTTTCTGAAAGAATATAGCAACAGTTGTTTCAGCCTTTTATGTGTTGGTGTATAATTTAAATAGCCTTATACATTTTAATTTATTGCTTTTTTTCTCTAGAGAAATCCAAGACCAGTGACTTATCAATTCCATCCAAATTTAGATTATTACAAAGCACGAGGAGCAGACCTCATGAATAAAAGCCGGTAAGTCCTCTTTCTCTGATGAAGGTTATAAGTCACTAAGATATTCTTGGAGATCATTAGGAAATTTTACACATTTGCTGAAAATAATTTTCTAGATTTTAGCATATCAATGGTTAATGCATGTAATGAATCTTTGTTAAATAAATTATGCCAGTTTTTTTAAAGGCATGGGAAAAAGATATACGTTGATGTCAGCGGTAAGATGAAAAATTAAGTGAATAGAAGAGTGCTTGTTACGGTTTGAAGTTTGACAACTTCATCTTTCTAACACTAATAAACCTGAATAAATCGTGCCTACTCGTATAATCTCTTTCTAGATCCTTGCTGTTGATTGAAAAGAGGCAGTTCTGTAATATATCCTTAAATTATTTCAGTAGCAAAATTGAAATTGGGTTTCCCAACTGTCTTTAGAACTACACAATACGCTTATAAATGCATCTTGTGTGCGCGTTTGTGATTATATACAGAGAAATTTTAAGGGTCACTGTAGGAATAAAAAAACATTAAAATCGTACTTTTAAAAGAAATGAACACTGGCATAAAGGGTTGATGAACAGTTCTGTTCTTTCATAATACTGTACTCAGCTGTCTCAAGAGTTAACTTGTCAAACCAGAACCATCTCCAGTGAGAACGTAATTTCAAAGTTTGCTGTGGAGACTAAAATGTTAGTCGTGATCAGTGCTGCAAGTTGTCCGAATCGTCCTCCTTCGGCGTTTTGCCTGTGTGCTAGCTTTTCTTCAGTAGAATTCCAATGACCTAAACATCCATTGATGGAATACATGTACAGATGTGTTCTGCTCTGACTTGGAGAGTCAAGAGAAGATGTAATTCCCAACACACAGAAACTCACAGTCTAAAAGGTGAGAAGACTTTGATAAGAAAGCAGCTAAATTTAAACTTGTAATTTGAACGCTGTTTCAGTGTAACGTTATTTTTAAATTACCCATCCTTGATTGAAGTCTGTCTCACATTTTGATGAACTGCGTAATTATGAGACCAGTTCTATAGCCCACGAGGCTTCTCTGAAGCTCTTTTCTGTTTATTCATTTTGTCTGATTCTTGTTTCACAAATAAGAGTTTATTCCCGATAGTCACTTTGTTCGTTTAATTTAACACATTTGTCCTGAATGCCAGACTCGCACTATTGCAGGCATTGGAGACACTCAGTGAACCAGCCAGACAAGACTCCCTGTCCGCAGGAATCTCACAGTCTGGTCACTTGTATTTCCTCCCCATCATGTCGAATATTTAGTTTTGATAGGTTTAAAAGAGCAGTGTATTTATTTTAGATACTTTCTTTGTACCAGATCTTTCTAGCTAGAGTCCCTTCTCTCCCCTGATCTCCAGCCCACGCCCCCTACCCACCACCACCACCACCATCACCACCAGATTAGTTTTCACTTAACAACCAACGAACTCTCAGTTTGTAGCAGATGGTACCACTACCCCACTTAAACCCCTCCGAAGGCTTCGTCCTAATACCTCTGATAATCCAGCCCTTCCCCTAGCCCCTCCCCTAGCTCTTTGACCTCACCTCCTTTACCCCTCCTTCTCCTCCCTCCCTCTAGAGCTTGCCTGGGGCCATTGCACTTCCCTCTTCTCCCCCATCCTGAATGCCTCTTCCTTTGCCCCTTCAAGACTTACGGCTCAGTCCCAATATCATCTCACAGAAGCCTCTCGACCTCCCTCGGGCTTCTCCCTGGGCACTCTCTGTGCCATCAGCCCACCCCATCGTTTGCATAGCATTCAGTACTCCCCCAAGCGTCCACTTCCTCTCTCTGCCCAACTTCCCCCCTCAAGTGTAAGCGCCTGAGGGCAGGTCCTTGTCTAACTCACCATTAAGGGCACCTGGAATAGTGCTGGCTAGTGTGGGGCAGTTACTCCATAAATATTTGTTGTATGTGCGCAAGATTATTTATCTTTTTACATTTTTCAACACCTACTGTTTTTTTTCAAAAAAGGAAATAGACTGTACCCTTTGCTTTCTCTCCTTCACATTTTATCTTTCTTCCGATTAGCTTTCTGTCCCTGCATTTTTCTTCTCAAAAATGCTGGTTCTGTTTTATGTGTTTCCTTGTAAGCACATCGAGATTCTTCTACACAGTGTCATTGTGACGGTTGGAAGGAAGGGTTCCCATCGTCCGTCACTGTTGCAATTTTAAAGCTTAAAACTGAAACGGAACCAAATGAAGTGTAGGATGTGAAGACATCACAGGCGGGTGGGTTCGTAGATAGTGCTGTGAAACTTGACAAATCTTTTGAGAAGATAAACACTTGTAACTGTAACAAACACCAGAATAAATTCTGAGTTGATCAAAGTTCACTCAAACAAGCAAACCTAGAAATAAGACACAAGTGTCTATCTGACTTCTAGGCACTAACTTTTTGACCTTAAAAGTAACAGGAACTATCACAAAGGGAAGGGCCGGGGGATTTTAAGCAGATATGTCAGGAATAAACCAAATCAAAAAGCAAACAGAAAAGTAGGGAAATGTTTGTAGTAGAAGTGCCTGACAATAACTCATTGCTGTCTAAGAGCTTGCGCAGTTCTTAGAGGGTCTCCGCCGGGTTCTCGGCTCTCAGTTCCCTTGTGACTGAAGGGGCATCATTTGTACCTTCAGTCTGACCTCTTCCCCGGACCTCCAGACTTGAACGTTCCCACCTCCACACTCTGTCATTCCCCCATGTGTCTCCATCACAGAGCATGTCATGACCCAGCTAACTCAGCCTTAGAATCGCCCTTGATTCCTCTTTCCCCATCACATCACACGTCGGGTCCATCAGCACATCCTGTCCAGACTGTGTACGGAAGTAAGTCTCTTTCCTCCTCTCTCTGCACCGCCCAGCCTGAGCCTCCGGGTCCTGGGTCACCTCACACCCACAGTCCCCTGTCTGCCCCGTGCCTCCTCACACGCCCTTTCCACCCAGCAGCCGGATTGATGCAAGTCCTCATCACATCACTACTGCTCAGGGCCCTTCAGTGACTTCCCAGGAAATCTGGGGCTGCAGGGCAGGCCCTACGTGACCCAGTCCCCGCCTCTCCAACTCTGTCTGCTCCCACCGCTCTCCTCTCTGGTCCGCTGGACTCCCGCCACGCTGGCCTGCTCACGAGTCCTCAGGCGCGCGCACCGTCCCACACCGGGAGCGCTGAGCCTGCTTTTCCCTGTGCCAGCTTCTTCCCCACGAATCCGCGTGACACACCTCTTAAGTCTACTTTCAAAGATCATCTCTTCCTGGAACCTCCCTCTGCTGCCCTCGCTGAGAGAGTGGGCCACTTTACTCTGTCCCTTCGCTTTGCTTTGTTACTGTTTTTGGTTTTTTCATACCACTTCTTACTGCCTGAAATGGTAGTTTTAGCTTTTTAAAAAACTTTATTCAATTATTTGCATGTTTTTATTGTTTGTTACTTGCATTGAAATGTCAACTCTACACATTCGTCTTGTTAACTGTTGTATCCTCAGCACCTGAAATAGTGCCTGGAGTGTAGTAGGCACTCAGTGAAAGAAGGGTTGCAAACAGCAAATAGACGTTTAGAAAGCTGTCCACATTCATAATTAGTCAAAGAAGTGCAAATTAAAACACCTCCGAAGTACCATTTTTCACCTTTCACATTTAGCAAATTAAAAATAAAAGCCAGGTGAGTAAGTCCTAGAGACCTACCCCATAGCCTTGTGCCCATAGTTAATAATACTGTTATGTACTTAAAATTTGCTAAGAGAGTAGATCTTATGTCAAGTGTTCTTATCACAAAAATTAAAATAATAATAATAAAGAGAGCAGGAGGGGGCTTTCGGAGGTGATGGGTAGGTTTAAGGTGTAGATCGCGGTGATGGTTTCATGGATGTATGCTTACCTCCAGACCCATCAAGTTGTGCACATGAAATATGTACAGCTGTGGTACGTCCATCATACCTCAGTAAAGTGGTTTAGAATGAATGAATGAATGAATGAACAAGCTAGCAAAAGTGCATGGATACCCTTAGTCGCCAAATGAGGGAGAGTAAATTGAGGCAAGCTTGGTAGATAATCCTGCCAAATATTACATGGAGCCTTTATAAACACCACATTATTCACTGCTTTATCTGTGATCAAAAAACTATTGTAGCTTCAAAACTGTTGGTAAAGTCCCCGTTTCACTATTGAATGCCTACCATGCTTTTACCAGGCTGGACCCTTCAGCCATAAAATTAGCCTCACAACTACTTGCTTAGCTCTTTAGAAGCTATTGAAGAGTTATGCAGTGGGGCTGTCACTGAGTAGCAAGACAGGTAGTGGGGCTGGTCCAGAGGGAAAATACATCCCCCTGGGGGAACCCCCAGCAGTGATCAGGAAGTAGAGGGCAGACAGGAGCCAGGCAGACACCTGGGAAGCAGCGAGCTCATACTCGCTGCATCTCCGACAGTGGGCTTCTATTTGTGTTGCTTATCCAAATCAGGGATGAGGATGCAGAGATGACATGTGATTTCATGGATAAGAATATCTCGAGAAATCAAGAAGCCTGATTTCTCTCCTCTGCTTTACCATGGATTGCTATAATTAAGTCTTTAAAAGCAAGTGCCTAGGTATTTTAGTGGTAGATTTTCCATTACGTGTGTGGGTAATACGCACTGTGCTCTGATTTTTACTTACTTACTTGCAAATTTCTTTTTAAAAATGGGAATTGACATTTTCTTAGTCGTTCAGCTTTGGAGCTCAGAACAACAATTTAACACTCAAATCGTGTTCCAATTTTGTCCTTAAATAACCATAAATTGCTGCTATAAAAAAATAAGCACATCTAAATTGTGACCAGTCTTCAGAAAGACCCATCTGATTTAATTAGGAGTCTGTGACTGCTGAAATGCCCAGTTGAGTGGTCATGGATCAGAATTTCGTAGTTTTTAAATACTGCAATCTCTTATATTAAGAATAGAGTCACATACCTTCTGTGTTCCAAGATATTCATGGATTTTCTGTTTTGAAAATGACACAATTTCTCCAAAAGTGTAATTTTTCCTGTTCTGCCGAGGTGAGGAAATGATCACACCTGAGCCATCAGTAGTGTCTCAAGATCACACATCCCTTTTTCCAGAGGCGCCGTTTTACAGGCTCCACAGCAGTAGGCCCTTTAACTTGCTTAAGCAGTTCCGTGTCACCAAGGTCAGATATTTCATCTGATTAAATGAAGCCTTGATGGAGATTGGAAGACACCCGACTCGGCTCCTGACCCGCCGCGCACCCGATCAGCGGTAGCATTCTTTCTCTGGGCTGATGTTCCCGCTTTGCTCTGCCCCGTATCAGAGCTTAGTGTGAACGACATAATTGATACCAATAATGAAAGATTCCAGAACTTGAATTCTGGGAGGTAAGCCCTCTGTGAAAGGCCCCTTGTCAGGATTCCTGCATGGGATGTAAGAGGAAGCCAGGCTCCAGGGAAGGATGTTTCCATAAGGAAAGGCTCCCTGGCCTTTGAAGATGTCTCCCACATTCCCCATCTGGGCTCCGTGTGACTGGGAGTCATGGCATCCAATCCATTTTTACCCCCAAGAATGCCTGCTAGCCAATATTTCTCCACCTCTCCTTGGAATCAGGATCTTAAGAGTGCTCCTCCCAGGGCCCAGCTTCACAGGAATGTTCTAGAAAGTGCATGATCCCAAGAAGTACAAGGATTCTTCCAGCATTTGTAATCCTTTGCTAGAATTTGGGCTTCGTGGGAACAGGGACCGCATGTGCCTGTTTCATTGCTGTTTGCTGAGTAGCTGGCACAGAGAACAAATTCAGACAGTAGTGAAATGAACAAATGCTTGTTAGCTTCAATTAGAGAAGAACTTATATGGATGTCAGGGTCTGGACCTGAGGGTCTTTGTTTTCCAGGGCCTCGCCCGGTACCTGGCACTGTCTCTAGTATCCAGTGATACTTAGTTTAATGATGCAATAAATAACTACTGTTTTGAATACCTAAAAGGCATTATAAAATTCTCCTGGCCAATTTCCATTTTCTGTGGTCAACAAGAATGTTTAAATTAGGCTTTATTGTATTCACTCAGAAGTATTTTATTGCTAAAATATGGTAAAGAAATAATATGCTAATAATATTCCCCAAGCCATGAAGCCAAGAAGTCCATGGTTATAGCCCCTTAGTAGTTAATTGGCTAATCAGAATTTCAAAGGATGCTGATTTCTATATAAATGTAATTTTGTGATATTTTCTTGCTCAGATAAGAGTTGGTGCTGTAATAAACACTTCTGTGTCTGAAATGCTCTTCCCACTGTAGCAAAGAGAGTTCTTCACTCCTAACCAATTTAGGTAAATTGGTAACACTATCTCCTATCTGGTGCAGATGAATCTTTCTCCTTTTAAAAAAATATTAGGTATAATTTGTAGACAATACAGAGATCTTAAGTGATGAGGCTGATGAGCTTTGACAGTTGTGTGTACCCGTGTAACCACCATCTAAAACGATGCATCTGGAGTTAACGTTTCTTTGACCCGAGAGTTCCCTCGTGTCCCTTTATAATCCGTTCCAACCCTCCATCCCAAGGCTACCATTTTCTGATTTCTATTACCTTATATTAGTTTTGCCTTTTATTGAGCTTCCCATAAATAGAGCTATACAATATGTACGCTTTTGTGTCTAGCCTCTCTCGTTAAGCACAATGCTTCTGCAATTCATGCACATTGCCGCATACATTAGTGGTTCCTTCCTGTAGAGTGCTGAGTTGTCCGCCATCATGTGAATATACTGCGAGGTGTTTATCTCTTCTCTTGTTGATAGACACTGGGTTGTCTCCAGATTTAGGCTGTTATGACTGTGACTGCTATGAACATTCTTGTACTGGTGTTTTTGAAGTTTTTGTTTGTTATTGTAGTTATTGGTAGATATATGTTTCTCTTTCTTTTGGGGTAACACTTAGAAATTAAACTGTTCTATAGGGTGGACGGATATGTAACTTTATAAGAAACTACAAGCAGTTTTACAAAGTAATTGTACCTTTTTCCACTCTCATGAGGAATATATGGGAATTCTAATTGCTCTCCATCCTTGCCAATATTTGCTATTGTCAGTCTTTTTGATTTTATCCATTCTAGTTGGTATGAAAGTGGTATCTCATTGTGGTTTACTTTACATCTTTTTATAGCATATTGGTGATTTGTGTATCTTCTTTTGTGAGTTGTCCAAGTATATGCCTGTTTTTGGTGGGTCAGTTGTTTTATTCTTGATCTGTAAGAATTCTTTATATATTCTGGATCGAAGTCTTTGTCAGATGTATTTACTGCAGATCCTATTCCCAGTGCGTGGCTTGTCTGTTCATTTTCTTAACCGTGCCTTAATGATGTCTTTTGATGAGCAGATTTTTATTTCAGTGAAGTTTATTTTACCAGTGTTTTCTTTTATGGCTAGTGGGTTTTGTTTTCCTATCTAAGAAATCTCTCTAAGACTCTTCTTAGTTTCCATTGTTGAGGGTCCTCCAGGCCATCCTCAGCTTTGATGATTCACTAGCACTCACAGAGCTCAGAAGAGCTGTCGCACTCGTGTTTACAGTATACTGCGGCAGGAGGATACAGACTTACATTAGGAAAGGGGAAAAGATTGGTGTCTTAAGAGGAACCAGGTACAAGTTTCCAGTTGTCCTCTCCCAGTGGAGTGCTTAAATCTCCCAGGGACCATCTATGACAACAGGGGCGCTCACCCAAGATGTGGTGTTCCCCAACGTTTTTTATTAGAGGTCATGCAGGCATGGAGCAACCATGTGACTGACATTAACTACTCCTTCTCCAGTCCCCTCAGAGGTGAGACCCATACAGTATGGCAGGGGCCCAGGTTACAAAAACAGACTTTACCATCAATTCCATTGTTCATGTAGACTGTTTGGTGTGGCCCAAGGTCCCAGGTATACAAAGGCACTTTTATCAGGCACGACATTCCAAGGGGTTAGACGTTAGCTCCAGTCATCATCCCTTGAGGGCCAGTCCTAAACGTCTTTGAAGGGTGCAGGATTTGGGCAGCCCAGGCCCACTGAGTTAGCCCTTTACTATACAGTCTCAAAGATATTCTGTATTCTTCTAAAATTATGTGTTCTAGCATTGTATTCCACCTGTGGTCCAGTTCAAATTAATGTTTGTGTGTGGAGTGAGGTAAGGATTAAAGTCCATCTTTTCCTGTGAGATATCCAGCAGTTCAGTACTATTTGTTTAAAAATCTGTCCTTTCTCTGTTGAATGAAATTGGACCCTTGGTTGAAAATCCATTAACCATGTAGATATGGATCTGTTTCTGGACATTCTGCCCCTTCTCTAGTCCCACCCTGGCTTAATTATGTAGCTTTCTGGCAAATCTTGATTTTAAGTGCTCTGAGCCCTCCGGCTTTATTCTTTTTCATTCTTCTGGCTAGTCTAGGTTCTTTGCGTTTCCATATAAATTTTGGAATCAACACATCAATTTTTATAAAAGTAATTGGGATTTGGGTTGGCATTACACTGACTCTATAGATCAATTTGGAAAGAACTGATACGTGCATATTATTGAATTATCCAATCCATGAACACAGCCTGGCTCTTCATTTAGTAGGTCTTTGTCAGATTTTCTCAGCAGTGTTTTATAGGTTTTAGTGTAGCAGTCTGGTAGATTTTTTCTTTAATTGAGAGAAAATAAATTTCTCTCTTTTTTTTCCTGCACCTCACCTGTTCCCTTCTGTGACTGTAGTTTTTTAAATGTGACCGTTTCCTTTTTACTTGGACTCACATTTCTTTATATTTATTGGCTCCTATACCTCCTTCCTTAAAACTCTTTAACAGTTGATTCGTGATATATGTTTAACTACAGCTGCTTGTGATTTTTTTTTTAATTGTGAAGATATACAGTGATTCTCACAGTAAAGGAGGAGGGATGAAGAGGGCAAAACTCCCCAATGGGTAGGCGTCTCAGAATTATATCCTCTACCATTAGACCGGAAACTTTCTCAAAGCACAGTTACAATGGGAGAGATGTATATCCCTCAGTGACACTGGGTCAGAAAATAAATTAGTGAAAAACTACCACTCTAGAGGTTGGAACGTAACTATTCACTCCTATAGGAATGTGTAGGGAGTTTATCTAATGGTTTGATACAACCATGATTAATGTGTAACTGCTTATTATTGATTATATTAAATAAATATTATAAGTTGTATTCAGAACCAATTAGGTAAGCCCCACAGCCTAGCTTATATCCACCCCCCACAAGGGCCAACTTTCTATCCCTAACCTTTGGCTTCATGTCACATTAACAAAAATTTACCTGCCACCTACGAAATAATCACATTCTTCATAGCTGAAAGGAAACATGTTTCACTTGAAAGTCAGATTCCTAAGGAATGAGTAGTAGCAAACTAACTTTTATCACATAGTTTTAATAAAGACCTATAAAATCTTGAGTTTCTTGAGATGCGGAGAGAGTTGATTTTCTAACATAACAGAAACCTCACAACATGGCAAGCAAATTGGAATTAGATACAGGTGTCTTTCGCTGAATCGAATTAGACAGATTCAACTTGAAGGTAAAGAATTAAGCAAGTTGGAAACCAATTCATTGTATAGAATTGGAAACCTTCGACTTAGAGAATTTGTGGGTAGAAGTTCATCATGAACGTTAGCCCAAGTGTTAGAATCACCTTGAAAAGTATTATTTTGCAACCATGACAGCTTTCTTTTAAATTTCCAAATAAAAGATAGATGTATATAAGGATGAAAGAAGTAAATATGAATCAGAATCCATTCAGGGTAGGTCAGTAACGACAGGCGAGAAAAGTACAGAAATGCAGAGAGAATACTGTTTCTATCCAAAAACCAAAGTCACATATTTATTTTTACTTTTTCCAACTATTCCTTGGACTAAAGAAAATAATTTAAAAATAACTTCTGTTTTTATGATGGGAAAAAAGTATAAGTAGAATGAGATGAGAAAATGATGGCAAGAAAAGGAGACCGTGATAGAAGGAAGGGGGAAGACTAGAGGAAAAGGGTCTCGGAGGGAAGATGACCGTAGAGGAGGGAGGAGGGGCCGGAAGGACAGAGAGAAACTGAGGGTGACAGTCAGGAGGCAGGGCGGCAGCGCAGGGCCCTGGGTTTGGAGATGGGTTTGGAGATGGGTCTGGTCCGCATCCCGCAAGGGCCTAGACCTCTTCTTGGTCCTTTCATCCTAGCGGGTCGTGGACGCGATGCCGGAAGGCAGGTGGCGCTGCGGGTCACAGCCCGCTCCAGCCGGGGAGGGGCTTTCGCCGCGCCCTGCTTCCGGGAAGCCTGCGTGTGTGGAAATGAGTTTCTAATCTCTGCTTCTGCGGTTCCAAAAATGGAGCTCTTCCAAATTGAAATAGAGCCTGTTAAACCACTGGAAAGGATTTCCTGTGTCAGAGCTTTTTAATCTGTCTTCTGTCACGTTCTGTGACTTTGGGAACTCAGCTCATTTTTTAAAGCCCGGCAGAGAAGCCCTGCTTTCCCTCGCAGCGGCCCTCAGTGTTGGAGGACTTGCTTCCTGCTCTTCAGCCATTCCTCTTCCGTCGTGATTCTCATTCCTCCCCCACTGTTCCGCTCCATTTTACAAACACGAAACTCAGTTCTGCCAGAAATTGATGCACCACCGAAACTGTCTGCGGTAATTGTCCAGCTACCTCCTGCAGCATAGGCACTCATCTGGTGTTTCTAGGCACATGTTCCTTGTGAAGGGACGTACGTATTTACTAGAGGGTAATAAATGCGATGTATAGTTACCATATTTACTTTTGCAGGATAATTTCACAGGGTACAGAACTCTAGGTTGGTGGGCTCTTCTCTCAACACTTTAAACACTGCACTCTCTTCTTCCACGCCTGGCTTCAGAGGTGCACTTGAATGTGGTCCTTATTTTTATTCCTCTGTGGGTATGGTGTCTTTTTCCTCTGATTTCTTTCAGAATTTTTTTTCTTTTTCTGTGATCTTCTGTCATTTAAAAATGATATGACTAAGGATAGCTTTTTGGGCATTTGCTGTACCTGGTGTTCTCTGAGCTTCCTGGATCTTTGATTTGATGTCTGATATTAATTTGGGGAACTTCATGGTCATTATTGTTTCAGATATTTCTTCTGATTCCTTCTCTCCTTCTTCTCCTCCTGTTGCTCCCATCCTGTGCGTGTTACACCTTTTATAGCTGTCCCACAGTGCTCGGATCTTCTCTTCTGCTTTCACTGTCTTTTTTCTGTTTGCTTTTCAGTTTGGGGAGTTTCTGTTGGTTGCAGTCTCCTCCACCTCAGAGATTCTTTCCTCACTCAGCCCATCAAAGACATTCTTTGTTTATGTTACAGTATTTTTTATCTCTGTCTTTACTTTTCCTTAGAATCTCCTCCTCTCTGCTTATATTTCCTGTCAGTTCTTGCATGCTGTCTACTTTATCCTTAGCATTTTATTTTTTGGGGGGTGTAATTAGATTTTTATTTGTCTGTCTTTAATGGAGGTACTGGGGATGGAACCCAGGACCTCATGCGTGCTAGGCATGCACTCTGTCACTGAGCTACACTCACTCCCTGAGTCCTTAGCTTTTTAATCATAATTGTTTTAAATTCCCATCTGATACTTCCAGCATCCCTGCTATATCTGAGTCTGGTTCTGATGCTTGCTCTCTCTCTCTCTCCAAACTGTGGTTTTTTTGTTTTTTGTTTTTTGGGGTTTTTTTGCTTTTTCAGTGTATCTTGTAATTTTTTTTTGATAGTTGGAAATGATGTATTGGGTAAAAGAAACTCCAAAACAGGCGTTTAATAATATGGTGATAAGGTGTAGGGGAGAGGGAGCATTCTGTCGTCCTGTGAGAAGGTCTCAGTCCTTTAGTGAGCCTGTGCCTCTGGACTGTGGACCTGACACATGCCTGTCAGCCCCGCCCCCACTGACTTAGGGTACCACAGGAGGGGCAGAGGGGGCTGGGGTTGAGTATTTCCCTTCCCCCAGGTCAGTTAGGCTCTGAAAAAAATCCCAGCAGGTTAGACCCTGGTTAAACATTTCTCCTGAAGGCAGACCTTTTAAGAAGAAGATGCTCTGCTGTATTTCAGATGGTTGCTTTTCCTCTCCCCTTGCCATGAGAACCTGGTAGAGCTCCAGGAGGTAAACCTCACAAAAGTTTGGGCTCCCCTCATCCCCCCGCCCTGACTGGGTCCCCTTGGAGATTTGAACTCAGGTTTGTCCACACTGAGCCTCTAGCGATTCATCAGGTACAGTCCAGTCCCCTACCCCAGCTCTGGTTCCTGTGGGTTTCTGCTGGTGGGTTTCTGCTCTGTAAGTCCTGATTCTCTGAGTCTCTGTCTTCACCTGAAACTCTCTCCAACTTGGAGACAGCAGTTTGCCCTGTGACCTCACTTTTCTTACAGATCTAAAAAAAAAGTTGTCAATTCTGTTTGTGTGTTTGTTCAGCTTTTGACTTATTTTTAGGACAGAGTAGAGACTTCCAAGCTTCTTACACGCTGGACTGGAAACCTCAAGTTCACTCGTCTAGTGTTAATGCAGCCCAAGAATCTTATTTTCTTTCAGCATCATCATTGTGGGCTCAGATTAGCCTTGTAGACCATTCCAAAACAGTTTTGTTTAGGCATTTGACTTATTTTTAATATAAACTTATGTTAATCCATGCCTCCCTATTCTATACGTAATGTGCAGTTGCAAAACATTTTAACCTAAGTGCATAAGCTTTTATTATCTTCATTAAATTTTATCTGTTTCATTATTTCTCATGGTACTCTGTTGAGAGCGTTTTAAATTTTGATCATTCTGTCTAATATATTGGGTGTCTCTGCAGCCTTTGGTCTCAAATTTGATAAGCACATGTTCTCTTTCTTCAAGTCACAAGATTGTAGGATTTTCTATCTAAAAGAGACACAGAATATCATATAATTCAGTCCCCTTGGTTTAAAGATCAGGAAATGTAGGTCCAGACAGCTGAGCCGGCTAAATAACTCTTCCAAGTTACATAACCCAGTGATAGAAGATCATGACCTTAAATAAAAAGACTGGTGAGCTAGTGTGCAAAGCAAGTCTGAGACACATATCACCAGGTGGGGGCCAGAACATTCCACAGTACACATGAGGCACAATTGTCCAGCTATAACTAAGCATGTATTGTCCCCTGCTGTATCCACTGGCACTGACATACCTGGATAAAATCTAACAGATGTCAGTGCTTCAGACAAGAAATAAAGTTGTCTTAGGATGACTTTTTTTAGTGAGCTATACTGGCTACTTGTAATAAACTCAGCCATTTCCAGTAATTAGTAAAAATATTTGTGTAAACCAGTCTGATTTCCAGTTTGGTTCCCATAATTTTGAAAAATCAGAATATTTCCCTATTTCTATTCTTCTGATATTTCTGTTTTTATTTAATAAAACAAAATGAGTAATAAACAAAACAAATGCAAGTATCTAAAATTTTTAAATATATCTAAATAACAATTGAGTCAACAGACTATCTGAAAAAATGGGGGGAAATCTTGGTGCTGTTGCTGTAATCAGATGCAAATGTGTAGCTTTAAATGCTTTTATGGGGAAAAAGAGAAAATGGATAAATGAATAAATGAATGAACCGAGCAGTCAACCTTTGGGAACACGAGAAAAGAAATAATAAGACAAATTTAAGTTCGACTGTAGAGGAAAATAATTAAAAATAAGTTGGAAACTCATTCCTCGACAAAAATATAAAACAAGCATCTAACAAAATTTTATTGCCAAAGGAGTGAAATAAACAGATAGTAGATACCTAGTATTAGACTTACAACTGAAATCTCTAGGTCGGAAGGAAGTAAGCCAGGGTGGTATCGAGATTTGTATACCAGGAGAGGAAAGGTTGTGCAGAATTCTTACAGAGGCGATCATTTTTTAAAAAGCTTTAGGGAGGTTTTAGAAGTTGAATGAGAACAGCTCATGATCCTGGCCGTTAGGAGGCATTGGAGACCCTAGACGGTCTTTCAGCAAGCAGAGTGTGGGCTAGAAGGCCAGGCTGTAGGAGATAAGTCAGTAGTAAGAGCCGGCAACTCACCCTTTCTCAGAATTTCAGAAACTGATCAAAAGGGGCCCAGCAGTGAAGCCAGGTTGGGTTCTGGTACAGGCCTTTTGAAGGATTCATGGATCTTCAGAAAAATATCTCTGTTGCTACTGACTTAATCTGCTACCTAAGGTTGTGCCAATAGTAAGTTCTTGGCACAATTTCAAAACAGTCCCTCCTACATACATACTATTTTTAGCAATAGAATGTGGTAGACTATAGTAGTGAAAGACTGATTACACAGAATTAGTTACTCATTAGATTTGATAATATTTCATGTCTTGTTAACTACGGAACCCTCCTAATATTCATTCTAACACTGTTTACACTTTGCACCCCATCTTTAACCCAGTCCAGCCCTCACTGTCCATCAGATCTCTTGACAACTGCATTACTTTTCATTAATTTAGCACACGTGACTTAATAGCGTACATCATAGCCAATAACTGTTGCAGATTGTTCGGGATGTCTTGTGAAGAGTGTTGCTGCTACTGTTTAAGATCTGTATCAGCCTATCTGCCGTAAAAGTCATGAAACAAACGATGGACTGCATGCTATCTTTAGAAGTTCATGGTTCACAAGTGTTACTGTCTGAAAATACAGGGAGTCACCTTCAACATTTGTTTTGATAATAAAATATTCTTCTGGAAGCTATGAGTAGTGGGTGAGGGGGAAATTGGTTAAAAACAAAAAATGTTCCAAAAAGGAAAACAGTGCTCAGCCCCTTTTGAAGAACGATTCAGATGAAAAATTGCTTGGCGCGAGCTTGCTCTCTGTTTTTCGTGGTTATTAGCGGTAATGAAGATGCATTCACCATCGTCTCTTGATGATGCTCTGGCAGTTTCTTAGTGCTTTTATCGACATATAAATTGTAGAACTGGCAATATGGGAATTTGACTAGTACATTTTTGTTTATAAAAAAGGGGGTAACAACATTATAACTTCTTCATATCTGTGAATTATGAATCTTGACTTGCAAATAAGCAAAACAGAACTTCCTTCTGCCGTCGCTCCCAGGAGATGGGCATGCAGACAAGCTGCTAAGTGCAGTGTGGGAGGTGAAGGCCTTCTTGGTCCAGAATGTATGAGTTCCATACACGTCATTCATGCCTGTTCTCGATACATATGTATTGAGGGCCTCCTCTGTTGCCAAGCTGTGCTGTCTGTACAATGAGAGTGCCTCTCCCTCATTACGAAGCAGCTGACAATGGGAAGTGAGTGGTGCAGATCACTCTATGTCCTTCTGTCCGTTAGGAGATGTTATTTTCCATAATTTGGGGAAGGACATTAAATAGCTCAGTTCTTTAAAGATGAAACGATGCAATAAGAACCATTTGAAAAATGATTTTTTCACATCTCATTGCATTAGAAGTAAAGAGCTCTTCCTTCTGTAAGGCTGAATTCCAGGTTTTAAGTTTGATTTGTCCTCTCTCCTGAGCACAGTAAGTCTCCAACACCCAACCCATAATAGTAGCTAGAACCATTAGAGAAAACATTACAGAAGGAAGAAGCAGTGTTCTTTGCTTTTTATTACAGAAGGATGGATTGGTTCTGTTTTAGTGCTGGATCTGGTAATGCCAAGGGTACAGCTGTCATAGAAAAGCAGGAGAATGGCTGTGTCAGGGCTGCCAGGTAGAGCTGAGGGAAAGACATGACGGAAAAATCCAAGTTAACTAAAATCCTAACAAGCGGATCCCTCCAACTTGATTTTCAGTTTCCTATTTTTATCAAAAAGAAGCTAAATGTGAGAAAGTGAGCTTCTAGGAAGGATTTGGGCAGTAAAAAAACACAAATTCGATAGTGACATAGAGTTGGACCACCTTCTACAACTAAAATAATTTATAATCATAAAGGTCTTTGAGACAGTACCCCTGAGATACTTGATTACAAATCACTGGGTAAGTAATCATTCATTTTAACAAACGTTTACTTGGTGTCCTCTATTTGCCAGTTACATCATCGGGTGCCAGCAGGACACGGTTGCTGAGAGAGGCGGTGTGTGAGCGGGAAGGGGTGTCACTGCCGCTGGGAGGTGGAGTGAAACGGGGGTGGACCTTGGACTCTGCAGTGTGAGGCCATTGGTGACCTCTGGGGATGGTTTCAGAGCGATGGCAGCGAGGCCACAGCCAGACCTCGGTGGGCGGGAGTGGAGAAGACACTTGTCTGAAAAAAAACACGTTGTGAGTAGGTTAAGAAGTAGGACGGTCACTAGAAAAGAATGAGGGTTCAGAAGTGGATGCGCACCTACGCATGCGCGCACGCACCACAGTGGTACGCTAGCGGGAGCGATCCAGTAGGAAGGAGAAAGTGGAGAGGAGGGTGCGGGAGCAGCAGTCTCCAGGTGACGCAGGAGACGAGGGTGCGGGAGAGGAGGACGCAGGAGAAGAGGACACGCAAGCAACGGTCTCCAGAGGTCAGAGCAGGTGGGGTCCAGAGCACTCCGGGGGATTGGCCATGGCTGGGAGCGAGGACTCTTCCTCCCTGGTAATAGGTGGGAAGACTCAGACTACAGGTAGGCTCAGCTGCCATTTAACAGGTGTTTATAGAACAATTACTGTGTTCTGGGGAGTGGCAGTATAGCAGAGACTTAAGTCCTAGTCTCCCTGAAGCTTTTATTCGACTGGGGGTTGGAGGAGATGGACAAATAATAGCCAAAGAAGTGAAATCTGTAATATGTCCGGTGATACAGAGTGCTGTCAAGAGAAGTCAAGCAGGGGCGTGGGGAAGGAGGGTACGGAATGCGGGTGGTAGTAGGGCTGAGGGGCTAGACGCAGTTCTCTTGGACTGGACACTTGATGTACTTCTGTGAATTTACTCCGTGCCTCTCAGACACACTTATCTTTAAAAATGAGATGAAATGTGGCCTTGTTCCCACAGGCCCTGGGAAGTCCACTCAGCCTTGTTTCCCAGGCACCCCTCTGTGTGTACCCAAGGCTCCCAACCCTGTACCTCTGCTTTAGAGCCCTCATCACGGGTTTTAGTCATATATTTATTTCTGTGATTATCCGATTCATATAGTTATTGCCTGCTGGACTGGAATCTCTGGGAGGGGAACTGTGTCTTTTTGGGACAGTCATAGTGCAGGTACTGATAAGCCCTGAATGAATGGAAGACTGTTTTCCATAAGCCACATCTTTTTTTTTTCAATTGATATACAGTCAGTTACAATGTGTCAGTTTCTCATGTACAGCCCAAGATCCCAGGCATGCATATACATACATATACTCATTTTCGTATTCTTTTTCACCAAAGTTTATTGCAAGATATTGAATATAGTTCCTTGTGTTATATAGAAGAAACTTTTTTAAATTTACTTTTATATGTAGTACATAAACCACATCTTTAAGAATCTTGTTATTTTGCTATTCTGCGGTCACTCAAGTTTTCATGCCCCACTTCATGTAGCTGATCTAGCAAATGACCTTTGGCAAAGCACGTAAGGTAGATTTTTATACCAACAGAGTATGTGAGAGTTGTCCTCCAATTT